GTAGTCTTTGGAACTGCGAGAAATAAATATCTGTTGTTTAAGCTGCCCAGCCTGTGATATTTGGTTATGGCAGCCTAACACAATGTAAAATGAAGCTTGGTTCTGCTTCCTGGTTGTTTATTAAGGAGCAGATTGGGGCAGGAAATTGGGAGGAAGAAATTCAAAAATTAACAAATCTTGACAACTCTGAATTACTCTGAATTACTGATTTAAGGGTTGTAAAGATGTAGCGGCAGGCAGGCACCAAGAGTATTGGATTTGTCAGAATCTGCATGATCAGTGCAATTTGAGAACTGCAGCTGTGAGCTGAACATGATCCTCCTAGACTGTGAGCTGTCCTTCTCAACCTGAAATAAAAAGCTATCATTCTGAATAAGTGCATGTATGCAGTTTATTTTAAAACTTCAGATCACACTCAAATCATATCTTAATGTGCAATCTCCTTGAAACACCCATCTCATCCCAGAAACCATTATTAATAGGGGTTCTTTGTTATTTAAAGAAAAAGAATTTTGAGGCAGAGTCTCACTGAGTTGCCCAGGCTGCAGTTCAGTGGCACAATCTTGGCTCACTGCAACCTCTGATTTACAAGTTCAAGCAATTCTCTTGCCTCAGCCTCCTGAGCAGCTGGGACTACAGGCATGTACCACCATGCCTAGCTAATTTTTTTTTTTTTTTTTTTTTTTTTTTTTTTGAGATGGAGTCTGGCTCTGTCACCCAGGCTGGAATGCAGTGGCACGGTCTCAGCTCACTGCAACCTCTGCCTCTCGGGTTCAAGAGATTCTCCTGCCTTAGCTTCCACAGTAGCTGAGACTACAGGTACATGCTACCATGCGTGGCTAATTTTATTTTTAGTAGAGATGGGGTTATACTATGTTGGTCAGGCTGGTCTCGAACTCCTGACCTTGTGATCCGCCCACCTCGGCCTCCCAAAGTGCTGGAATTACAGGTATAAGCCACTGCACTTGGCCTAATTTTTGTATTTTGGTAGAGACGGGGTTTCACCATGTTGACCAAGCTGGTCTCAAGCCCCTGACCTCAGGTGATCCATCTGCCTTGGCCTCCCAAAATGCTGGGACTGCAGGCATGAGCCACTGTACCTGCCTAAACGGGAATTTAAAAGAGACTGTTTCTCAAGACTTTTGCAGTTTGGCAATTAAATCAATGCATACATATAACCTCTTGGCTACAATATCCTACTACCCTGAAGGATTCACTTTATTATATTAGTATAGCCTTCATGACTTTTACACTTATGTTCATAAGTAAGTTATTCTGTAATTTTCTTTTTCCATGCTATCTTTGCCATATTTTAGGTCAAGTTTTTTTGGACAATGTCTTACTGTGTTGCCCAGCCTGCAGTTCAATGGCACAATCTTGGCTCAGTGCAACCTCTGCCTCCCAGGGTCAAGCGATTCTCATGTCTCAGCCTTTGGAGCAGCTGGGATTACAGGCATGCCCAGGTAATTTTTAGATTTTTAGTAGAGACAGGGTTTTGCCGTGTTGGCCATGGTTGGTCTCGAACTCCTGGCCTCAAGTGATCTGCCTTCTTTGGCCTCCTAAAGTGCTGGAATTATAGGTGTGAGCCACCATGGCTAGCCTAATAGAGGCTCTTTCACTATGCAATGAGCTGCATACAAGATGCAGGCAAAGTTAGCCATCACCATCATCTCTGTTGTCCCTATCAGACTGACAGAGGGCATGAAACCTTATGTACCTACTAGTCATCTCAATACCACATGACAAGGATGACATTAAAATGGAGTTCAGTCCAGAATTTCAGGGTGATCTCCCAAAATATATATTTGCATACATTTGCCTGACATGCATGCAGATTCCCTATGTGGTTCTAATACTTCTAATACCTGAGCATGAAGTCTGTTTCAAGAGGTTCTCAAAGTTGTCACTCTTGGGAGCTATGTTGCTGATGTTCCAGATAATTTGTCCTTGTTTATCAGGTTCCTCAGCTTCTTTCTAAATCCGGGGCTGTCTTGTGCTGAGATCCCGTGGCTCCTCCTAGACTGTGGTTTCTTTGCCTTTGAAGGCATCCAGTTTCTGGGCTCTGGTCCTGGCACCTGACCTGAACAGTACTGTCTCTTACATTTTCAGGATCCAAAAAGAGAAACTGATCTACAGTAATGTAAAATGGCATATGTGGGTGTCCACCACAAACTGGTATCACACTGTGTTGAGAATTTTCATTTTCGCTCACCACTGATATTTAGGGTGATTCTGCCTCATTTACTTTGCCTCAGGATATGTCTTCAGGACCAGGTGCTCAACATACTAGGCATCCTCAAGGATGGGTAGGGATTCTTGCCCTGACCATAGACAACTACAAGTCTCTCAGGTTAGATGCCATGGAAACAAGAAGGAAAATGAGGGATTGACAAGAAAAATGAGACAGGAAGATTCTTGACATCTGGTCAAGGCCTAAAGACTCCTAGAAGGCCTCTGGTGGACTTAATGCATTTCCTGGAGCCAACTGTTTCTGATGACCCTGAAAACAGGGGTTTGACTGGATGTCAGGCTATGAGACCACATGCACACAGTGGTTGGCTCTCCAGAAGGAAATTAGTGCTGCCCCATTTTTTTCATGAACAGCTATCAAACTAGGCTACAAAAGGATATATTAAAAACATTATAAACTTGGAACCAACCCAAATGACCATCAGTGATAGGCTGGATAAAGAAAATGTGGCACTTATATGCCATGGAATACTATGCAGCCATAAAAAAGGATGAATTCCTATCCTTTGCAGGGACATGGATGAAGCTAGAAACCATCATTCTCAGCAAACTAACACAAGAACAGAAAACCAAATGCCGCATGTTCTCACTCATAAGTGGGAGATGAACAACGAGAATACATGAACACAGGGAGGGGAATATCACACATGGGGCCTGTCAGGGGGTGCAAGGCTAGGGGAGGGAAAGCATTAGGAGAAATACCTAATGTAGATGATGGGGTGATGGATGCAGCACACCACCATGGCATGTGTATAACTATGTAACAAATGTATATATATATATATATGTATTATAATATGGATATAAAGTGAGATATCCATATATATATGGATATAAAGGGAGACCTGAATCAGCATTAGAGATTAGGGAACCTATGGCTTTGGGGGTACCATGAGCTGAGAACTCAAATGTAACAAAGATATTAGGCAAGGGGGCAAATACCTCCAGAAAAATGGGTAGGGTAAGAATCAGCACTAGGTTTTGGAGAAAGGCTAACTGCCTCATCTGTACAGCTAAGAGAGATGAACTAAGTGCACTGTCACGATAACTATGTTGCAGAAGTTGAGGACAGAGGATGGGGATAGAGAACACAGAACTGTTGATATGATTCTAGCTCATATTTTAAATTTGGGCAAGAAAGTTATGGAAGAGGACTCCATATGACTAAAATCTCTATAAATCCACAACGAAGGTAGTTTTTCTCACTGCACAGTTGCTCTTTTTGTCTGGGAATAAAGTTGGGACCCATTTCTACATTAAAGGCCTTACAAATATTATGGAGAACCCACTAATGTAGGGCAGTTTTTGTTCTGTATTCTCTGATATGTTTCCTCAGTACAGCGCTGCAGGGCAGAAACTATGGTAGTCACACACTTCACAGCTTTGCCATAAACCTCAGCTTCCCAGACCCAGGACTTGTTAGTAAGTTGGTGCAGTTATTATCCAAGCAGCTAGGGGACCCAGACCTGATGGCCTTAACTGTCTTTCAGTGATATGAATCACCGGTTAAGTCAGATTGGTCTGAGAGGCCTTAGAAACTTAGGATGCCTTTAGAATGCAGGGAGGATCTGGAAGTGAGGGTCAGGTTGAGGGCATCAGGTAGTGGTGCACAGTCACACTTCCTAGCACAGCCCATAGTGCTTCTTCTACGACTGGCCCATCTAAAGTAACATGACAACTTCACGGGTGAGATAAAGCACTTAAGATATACTTCTCTAACCCTCTCAGAAGGCATTAACTATGGTAACCTACTAGTGAAGCAGCTCAGGTGACAGAACACTGTTACTTAGGCTTTCAATTGCGTAGTCCCTTTGCCTGTCCTGTTCCCCCAGCTCACCTGCATTTTGAGATTTGGACATACCCTGAATTTGTACCTTGCTAAGGCTGCATGTGCACTGTGTAATAGTGTTAGAAAGCATGTGGGTGGTGTCTGACAGATGCAGGAGAAAATTTTGGTTACTAAATATGAGACTTTGGGTAAGTGATTTTCTAGACTTTATTTTCCTTATCTGAAAATTGGGGATAACATAATGTACCTCTTAGATGTGTTATGAAGACTAATTTAAAGGAAATAACATTTGTCAAACATTTAGGAAAACATCTGATACACAGGCAATCTAAACTGATATTCATGTATCTATTATAGCATTATTAGTATAGATATAAAAAGATGACATTCATTTTCTTTTTCCTTTTTTTTAAGACAGGGTTTCACCATGTTGGTCAGGCTGGTCTTGAACTCCCGACCTCAGGTGATCCACCCATCTTGGCCTCCAAAGTGCTTGGATTATAGGTGTGAGCCACCACGCCCAGCTCTTTTTCCTTTTTTGAGAGAGGGTCTCACTGTGTCACTCAGGCTGGAGTGCAGTGGCACTACCACGGCTCACTGCAGCCTTGACCCCCCTAGGCTCAAGAGATTCATCCACCTCAGCCTCCCGAGTAGCTAGGACTACAGGCATGCACCACTGTGCCTGGCTCATTTTTTGTACTTTTTGTAGAGATGGGTTTTGCCATGTTGCCCAGGCTGTTCTCAAACTCCTGGGCTCAAGCAATCTGCTCGCCAACCGCCTCCCAGAGTGTTGGGATTACAGGTGTGGGCCACTAATCACTAAATGGCCAATATTCCTTTTCTAATTAGGTTTATTTTTGAAGCACACATAGCTTTAATTGGCTTTTGTGGAAATTTACTTCATTCAGCCCCAATAAATACAGACACAAATTATTCTCTGTAGAAAATACTTCCATCTCACCTTACTTGCTTCATTGATGATTTGGAACCTGGTGCTGTCTTCAACTGTCGTTACTGAGTCTAGTAATACCTGATAGGTGGACTTCTTGGAAAGCCACTGTTTCTGACGCCTATAGATACAAAGTATACAGATGCTTGAAAATTATTTGTGATTGTCAATATCTAACAGACTGTATTATGTGGAAGTCATTAAAATTCACTCTGATATTCAGTGAATTTCAGGGTACAAACAGTAATAGTACTATAATAGAGTACTAATCAGAGTGTTTCTTATTAGATTGCTGATAGGATGACATCTTGTTTCCTTTATTGAGACGGTGGGGCAATTTTCATAGATGACATTTGTGAACTTGTTAATTTCCTTCCCTCTTTCCAAAAAATGGACTTTAAAAGTAAGTCAACAATTTGTAGTGGGAATTCAATATAATCTAGTGGTTTAACAAGGTTACCAGGCATTCACTGTAGACTTCTCTCTAGATATCTGTCAGAATTAAAATAATATGCTTTTCTTCCTATAGAACAGAGAGCGAATACATTAGAAAGCTATACTAGCTGGATGCAGCAGCTCATGCCTATAATACCAGCACTTTGGGAGGCGGAGGTGGGCAGATCACCTGAGGTCAGGAGTTTGAGACTATCCTGACCAGCATGAAGAAACCCCACCTCTACTAAAAATACAAAATTAGCCAGGTGTGGTGGTACATGCCTGTAATACCACCTACTTGGGAGGCTGAGGCAGGAGAATCACTTGGACCAGGGAGGTGGAGGTTGCAGTGAGTTGAGATTGCGCCACTGCACTCCAGCCTAGGCAACAAGAGCAAAACTCCGTCTCAAAAAAAAAAAAAGATAGCTGCACTAGATAATTTTTGATGATTTCACTTTCAAGATCACATAAAGGAAGACTTTTTTTTTTTTAATGAAGATTTTAAAGATGTATTTTTTGCAGCCCTGGAGAAACAGGCAATTTTTTTTTTTTTTTTTTGAGATGGAGTTTCACTCTTGCTGCCCAGGCTGGAGTGCAATGGTGCCATCTCAGCTCACCGCAACCTCCACCTCCCAGGTTCAAGCCATTCTCCTGCCTCGGTGTCCTGAGTAGCTGGGATTATAGACTTGAGCCACCACGTCTGGTTAATTTTGTATTTTTAGTAGAGACGCAATTTCCCCATGTTGGTCGGGCTGGTTTCAAACTTCAGATGATCCACCTGTCTCAGCCTCCCAAAGTGCTGGGATTACAGGCATGAGCCATAGCACCTGGCCAGGCAATCTTATATAATGGTGATAGGAGTACAAATGGTATAATTCCTATGGAGGGAAATCTGGTAATAGTTAACACATTTCAAATGCATTTACTCTTTGACCCAGTAATCCCACTTCTAGAAATGTATCCTATAAATACACCTCCATGTGTAGAAAATGACCTATGTATAGCTCTTCATTGCAGTAGTGTTATTCTAGCAATAGATTAAAAACAACCCAAGTGCCTAGAAATAAGAGACAGACTGAATAAATTATATTAATAATACATCTACCCAATGGAATATTATGCAGCTGTAAAAAGAGGAAACGATCTCCATGTAATCATATGAATTGCTCCTCAGAACAAACTATACAGCAGGAAAAAAAAAAAAACCCTATTTGGTATAAGAAAGGGGTGATAAAAAAAAAGAGGGAATAATATAAAAATACATATATTCACAAAAAGAAATACTAGAAGCATAAATAAAAAATGAAGAAATTTGGTTACTCGGAACAAGATGAGGACTGAGTGAAAGTAACATTTTTCAATGTATATATTTTTATATTATTTTTGAACCATGTAAAAGTGTTATCTATTCAAAGTGTCAACATTTAAAAACTAGTTTAAAACTAGTTTGGCTTTTAAAATAAAATAGCTGTTTATTGAAAAATTTAAATACTTAAGGAGTAAATGTGTAAGGTTAAAAGTGAGCCTTCTGATGATTTCCTTAATTATTTAATTATCCTTTCTTTGGAAAGTCTATCAGTTCTCAAAAATTTACTAAGCATCAATTTTGAAATATTGTCAGTAATATTTCATGTAGGTACTATATTTATTTTCCTTACCTGTAAAATGCGATCCTGTTGCAGTCTCTGAAAATGTTTTTATCCACAGCTTCATCTTTGACACTAAATAAAAAGACATTTTGAGAAATTTATTTTACACAGGGTTTGTGAGTCCAATTTTTGTACCTCCTCTAACTATAGTATGAACATGCGAAATAAACCTTTGGAGTCTATTCTGCAAAGCAAAACTGTGTCACAGCCATAGTATAACACAATAGCACATTATGCTTCAGAACAATAACCTTTTGTAAATCCTCTGAGGTAAACAACAAAACATCAAGTTCTGGGATTACTCTGAAAGTAATGGGAAAAGAGCACTGTCACTTATGAGGACATATTTTTTGGAAATAGTACTGAAGGCTATGACTGCAAAAGTAAAACCTGAAGGAGCCAAACCAAAATCAACCAACCAGACAAACTAACAACCACAACCCACTGACTGATTTATTAAAAAAAATATTTTCAGAATATTCTTCCTGGGTTATAGGCTCCGGGGAAGATAACGGACAATGTTCAAGCTGTCTGTAAGTGTTTTACCAGCAATAACAATACAAGCTGACAAATGCTTTAATAGAGGTGCAAGGTGCTAGAATAAAAACAGAACAGATGCAGAGGGGAAATCTCTTGCTTTTTAGGATAAGGTGACAATCTAGGGTCCAAAGTTTTTTAAAATCAAGTTTCCAGAAGAGGTGTTTCTGGAATAAAACATGAACAAGATGTATGTCTATTGCAGTTTGAGTACATGTATTTAAACTACCTTCCATCTGATTAAAACAACTACAGATTATAAGCAGAAAAAAATAACACTGGTTTTCAGGCACTGCTGTGAGTGCATCTGTAGTCAGCATGTTCACGATTATGTAGAAAGCTATGACTGAACACAACAGACGAAAAAAACAAAGCTAGGCAGATACACTTGGCCATACTAAAAAATTGTTTATCCTTCATTGAACTGTCTTTGCCAGTTTATTTTATTTTAAAAGTATTTTTGAGACAGGATCTTGCTTTGCCGCCTAGGTTGAAGTAAAGTGGCATGATCTCAGCTCACTGCAACCTCCACCTCCTGGGCTCAAGCTATCCTACCGCCTCAGCCTCCTAAGTAGCTGGGACTACAGGGCCATATCATCACATCTGGCTAATTAAAAACTTTTTTTGTAGAGACAGGGATTCACCATGTTGCCCAGGCTGGTCTTGAACTCCGGGGCTCAAGCAATCTGCCCACCTAGGCCTCCTAAAATGCTGGGATTACAGGTATAAGCAACTCGGCCCAGTTTATTTTAATCAAGTGCACAAAGATTGGAGAATTTTGTGTTTCCTCTTTCCAGCTTTGAAGAGTTAACTCTGGGATGATATAGAAAGGTGTTTATAGCTGAACTTGGAAAGCAACATGCCTGAAATTCACGTGCTAGAGTTCACACTGCAACTTTTCCACTGTTAATGTTATTTAACAACCCTTTTTTTTGGAGACAGGGTCTCACTTTATTGCCCAAGCTGGAGTGCAGTGGGCAAGATCACAGCTCACTCCTGGTCTCAAGGGACCCTCCACTGGTCTCCTAAGTAGCTGGGACTACAGGTGTGTGCCACCAGTCCCAGCATTTTTTTTTTT